AGACACATGCAAGCTTCACAAAGTCAAGTAAGCAGGCTTGAATCATACTTAAATTATTTGTGAACAAACAATTAAGTTGACAAGTTTCCAACTGCTACTGGGCAAGATTCCTGTTACGTTCCCAGTGTTGGGAACTCCTCTGCTCGCCAGCTCCTTGTCCATGTTTCTTTCTTTTTCCCCCCCTCTTTGCTGTAGATTTTCTCCCCCACGCACCCCAACTTTTGATTCCTTAAACTACCCCACCTGGAGGGAATGGAGAATGGAGCAGGCCAGAGCGGGAAGTGAGTTGCACCTGAAGCCCGGAGCAGGAACAGACCAAGCCTGGGTCGAACTTGGAGGGGAGTCATCGAAGAGAGTCATGGCCAGAGCCCAGAGTGGGAGAACAGCAAGCATGGTCGAGTGCCAGCAGAGCCCAGAGCAGGAAGGCAGCGAATGCGGGCTGAGCTGGGAGCTGAGTCGCGGCCAGAGCCTGAAGCAGGAGCAGAGTGAGCCCAGACCAACTGGAAGGACGAATTTTACGGGACAGAGACCAGCGTGTGGAGGCAGAGAGGCCTCCTGTTCCGAATCCCGGCTGGCATAGCCTCACATGTAAAATAACTATAACGTGAGTGCTTTAAAAGATACTTTTTATCATTCTGTCCTTTTTAACCTCTGTATTCCCATGCTAGTCTTTTTTTTTTAAAATACTATTTCAATTCTGTAACAACACTTAAATTATTTGTACCTAGGCACTCTGTATCTAAGATGGTGCCGAGACACGACATTACAAACTTTTCACTGCACTCATTCAAGTGCACTTGACAATAAAGGCTATTCTATTCTAAATGGAACTTGTCCAATACTTTAAAAAGATACAATAGGGATGTTCACACAGTTGATTTTACAATTCTAAAAGTTTCCCATCAATATTACAAGGAAAAGCAGATCAAAGCAGCTACATGGTTGTCCTAAGTCCTTTTCGGCAAGAAACTAATGACAACTGTCACTACTTCAAAAAAACACAATAGGAAGACAGACATAGCCATTTTCAGCTGCTTCATCCATGATCCTCAAAATACGATGAGAAGCTGGTCATTGTTGATTGAAGTATTCCATTTGCAACTCCTCAAGTAGTGAAACAATCTGTGCTTGAATGTCTGTTGAGGCCTTTCTACATACAAAGCTTAGGCTGATAAACAACAGTCATGCCATACAAGTGGCAGATAATGACCATTTCTAAAAAGGAGAAGAATATGACGAGGAAGCAAGGAAGAGCATTGGAAAGACTAGAAGAATTAACTATTGCTCTATAAATAATGGAGTATAATCTGTGACATCAACCTGAACAAAGAGACTGGGCTTCAGCTTAAACTCTTTTTCAAAGAATGGTATCTCCAACCTATCAGTAATTGCCCAGTAAGTACTGGCACACAAACCTATATTGTGTGCTCAAGTATGAAGGGCACAGCTTTCGAACTTGCACTCAAGACTGTTACAAACTACGAAAGGGTTGCCTTCTTATACTGGTGCAGTCTGCATAATGCAGGTACACCCACAGCACTGTTAGGTTTATGAAGTACCAGCTTTTTGCACCATACTAAAAAAAAGAGTAATATTTTTTTCAATTTAACAACAACTGTGAATCAGAGTTTAACTTGTGGATGGATGTCTACAGGATGGATACAGAAATACAAGGAAACTAAATTGCAATGGACACAAATGATTGTCAGCCAATATGGAAATTTAATCAAAATCTAATTTTCCCACATCTCCCTTGAAGAAAGCACATTCAAACGTCATTAAGAGATTGCACCTATTTAGAACATAGCTAGAGTTTGAGAATCTAAGCACAAAAATCTCTATTTTAATCAACTAATTTAGTCTGCCAATGCCTGAAAAGAATAAACCATTCTGGTTGCGCTAAGTCACTGTAGAAACTATGGCCAAGAGCTAATATCTGAACAGGGAAGCATTCAGCATTTTGATCACTTTCCTCAAAAGACAATGGCATAAAGCAGCTTTATCTTTTTTGCTGCAACAGGAGTCAACTACTTGCAGTAGAAGCAAATTTACTGCCTTGTGGAAATCAATGTTTTTTGATATATGACAGTTGGAAACATATTGCATAAAGCAATTTTACCTGTTACATGAATTCTGTCCTTGATTTTAAAAAGGCAACATCATTCCAATGTACAAGCCAAGGTAATAAATTGTGACAGAAAGTTGTTACTCAGTTAATTTTGAAGATGGTTTCAGTTTGAGTTCTCTCTTTCATACTTCAAGTTACATTTTGTCTACTTCCTCTTCCATTTAGAAGAATTTCAGTTTTTAAGCTTTTTTCTCTTCCAACAATATCTAAAGGTTAGAATTCTTTGAAAATTGCATTATGCAGTTTGCTTTTATATTATTAAAAGGTTCTCTCTTTCATCTGTCAATTATTGAAATACATCACAAACAGGGGTCATCTCCAACTTACAGGAGCAATGTCAAATATATTCCAATGTTAACAGTACAGGAACTTCCATGTGGATTTCCCAGAAGTTCAAACCAGTCCTCACAGAAACATTACTTCACAGGATCCAGGAAAGACTTCATTCAGGACTCATTCACTTATACAGATCTGCTTCCTCAAAAGACTTCTCATTAAAAAAAAAAAAAAAAAAGGCCAGGGATGTCCTTAAATAGGTAATCCCAATAATAAAAGAGGATATCTTAACAGTGCCTGCATCTTAACACAGAATGGCAAGGAGAAAAATAGATCAATTTGATCCATAGTGGACATGCTACAAACCATCCTGGAAGAACTGACTATCTAACTGTGAATACATTGTTTTCTTTTGTACCGTAAATTTAAAGCGCATGACTGTATTTGCAAGTGAAAAAGGGAGAGGTGTCCTTCCTACCACTAGATTATAATTTTTACCAAATATTTTGTTCACCTTGGTTTACACAACACTAACAGAACATATGTTAGACCTGACTGAATGGTGTTCACAATTCTGGTCTCCATAATTCAAAATGAATATAACAGGGCACATGAGGAGATGCACAAAAGATCTACAAGGATGGTACCAGGAGAGACAGTATTTACAACTGTGAGGAATGATCCCAAAAGGTGCAGGTTTTTTTCCTCTAGAAAGAGAAAGTTGAGTGTTGAACTGATAGAATCCTTAAAACCATGAATGGGTTTGAGAAGGATAGGTGCGAAGGTGATGGTTCCACTTCTGGGTTTTCAAAACTAGAGGCCACAGACAAGACACTGATTAATAAATCTAATGCAGAATTCAGGGTAAACCCCTTTCCTAGTAGCGAAAGCTCTTCACGGAGATACAGTCATAGGGATGTTTCAAAGGAAAGCTATATGACAAAGGAAGGAATAGAAGAATAAATGAATAATTAGAGTGGGAAGGTCACAAAGAGGATAAATGTCAGCACAGTTCAGCTTGGGTTAATGAGCTGCTAGTATCCTGCAAATTCCATGTGATGAAATCACAAATCCAAAAGACTCTGAATCATGGAAAAAAATAGCTTTGCGCAAAGCTGAAAGGCTTTGATGCAGGTCAAAAGAGTGTGAAACAGATTGGACAGAAAGGGCTATTGAGACAGAGAGACAGACAGAGAGAAACAGAGAGACAGAGACAGAGAGTAGGTTAGTGACCAAGTGTAGGCAAAAGGAATTCCTGTAGTTTAGTGTTTATTGGTCAGAATAAACATGGTGGGCTGAAGGGCCTGTTTCTATGCTCCAGGACTCAAAAAAAACTAATCCATAGGAGGTGAAAGGATTAGAATAATTCAGTAAAGAAAACAGCCCACAGATCAACCTTTGCCTATAAGCTTCAGACAAAACATATCATAAAATTTTGCTCAGCTGGGAGTTCGGGCAAATATTTCCTGCAGGCTGAATATATTTGATTTGATTGCTCACTTTTCCAATAAAGCTGAGCATCTGTTATCAGTACTTCTATTCTTTGTTCAACTCCGATATACGCAGGTACCAGATGGACCACCACACAATATGACAGGCATTTTTCCAAATAGGTCCCATGAGTTTATGTTGACAGCAGCACCTGGAGGTGCAGAAAAATAAAGCAATTTGCAGTTTTGTTCTGGAGACTATTCATTCCTCATGCTGTTTTTGGAGTGTTGTGTGCTAAAAATTGCGAAAAGGCATGATTCATGGGTTTGTTTGTGGTTTATTAGAGTTGAACATGAAATTTTGGATGTAATTCATATGAAATTCAAATACTTTTGGTATCAGATGTTCCAAACCTGAACTGTGCAGAGCTGAATCAGCCAAGAAAAAGCTGAAACCTTTACATTTAGATTCCTGTCTAATGTAGACTACCTCAACTGTATCCAAAGTTGAACACTGAATGCTTATTCTGGAGGTTCTTTTAAGTCTCATCTAAGTTATTCGCAAGTTTCCTTTCTTATATAGAGAACCATGGAAGTTTAAAAAAAAGGAACAAGGCAGCACTACGTAACAGCAACTTCAAACTGGGAATATCTAATTGGTGTGAGTATGTATGTCTGCATAACTGGTAAACCCAAGGCTGATGTTAGAGACAGCAGTTCAGGAGTAGGGATGGAGAGGGGAAATATTCTTGTTCCTATGGCAAGGTACAGACAGCAAATAAAATAGAAGTATGGATATGGGTGTTGGGTGTACAGTGGAATTGTGGAGACACTCAAGTAATTAGAGAGACTCATTTTCTGTTGAAAATGGTCAGGCTCATGTTTTACCTCTGCTTATCATGAAATTCAAACTTAAAGTATGATCATTAAGAGTTACCTAGAAATATATCAACTGCAGAACTATAATCCAAGCGGTCTCTGTTTTAGGAGTGGAAAGCAGAAAGCGGATGTAAAGGAAAAGTCTTTAAAAAGCATCAGAGTACAAGCAAATACAAAATAAAAAGAAAACCAGATTAATCAACAGCATTTTGTGATTCACAACAATTATTTTAACCAATTAGTTTCAAATTTTAAAAAGTCTTCAGTAAAACAATATATACAAGTACCTTTTTTCAAAGCCTCAAGAAGGAAAGCAAGATTTTCAGCAAAACTCCCCTGCAATTAAAACATTTCATGTGGTCAGTGGACTTACACATAAAATAGTTAAAATCAAAATAATCTGCTTAAGATTTGCTGTGCACAATAAAAATTAACTTTTGAGAATTTAGATTTTTAATATTAGAGGCAGATGGATTTTGGTTTCTCTTTAGGAAGCTTTTTTTCTTAGAGACCCAGAAGAACAATTGGAAAAACGACCTAAATACGTCATTTGCAAGAAAGCATCTAACTTGGTAAGTGCCTAACCAGATATGTGATGTTAATTGATGAGATGTGTACAATGCTGCATTTTAGAGATACAGAAAAACAAATGACCGGGGTCATGGAAGGCTTAGTTTGATCACATTTCAGAAGAATCAGGTATCAGTTTCACCCCAGTTGGAAGACTAAGATTTTCAGCTGAGGAGAGCAGTTTCATCCTAGCAGAAAGGCAGGTGAGGTGCAGGCCCGGTAATAGGCAGTTAGTGTCATCTACAGGAGTGGACAATTCTGGACCCTGGGACAGGCAGTCAGCATCACCTAAAATTAGGACCCCGAGACTTGCAATCGGCATCAGAAAGGGGATCAGTACGAGGGACTGAAAACAGCACAACAGTGGAATGTGCACTAGAAGCTGCTTCTTGTAGTTGCCTCTTCCTTTGATACAGCAACTTTGAAACAGCAGGAGAAATTGATAAATAATGGTAAGTTTTGCTACTATTTTCCTCGGTTGGTGATGGCTAGCACAAGGGGACATAGCTTTAAATTGAGGGGTGATAGATATAGGACAGATGTCAGAGGTAGGTTCTTTACTCAGAGAGTAGTAAGGGCGTGGAATGCCCTGCCTGCAAAAATAGTAGACTCGCCCACTTTAAGGGCATTTAAATGGTCATTGGATAAACATATGGATGATAATGGAATAGTTTAGGTTAGATGGGCTTCAGATTGGTTTCACAGGTCGGCGCAACATCGAGGGCCGAAGGGCCTGTACTGCGCTGTAATGTTCTATGTTCTATTCTAATTGTAATCAATAGTGTTTAAAGTTACTAGATGGTAGATCAACATGGACAGCCAGCATGTGAATCCTGCAAATGTGTGTGAAGTCACAGATGCACCATGTGTCCCAAACAAAGACATCTACAGGATGTGTGACTGACTGCACAAATTTGCAGTCCAGGTTTAAAGAAACTAGAGTGGTGGCTTGAGTGGAAAAGAACATAACTTGAGGCCATCAACACAAAATAGTCAACAAGAAATCCAATAGGACATTAAGAATAAAAAAATGGTCTTGATGCAAAGAGCAGTAAGAATAGAATTCACAAGCACAGAGTGGCTAAAGGAACTGGTATAGATGCATTTAATGTGGAGCCAAGACAAACAAAGGTAAGAGAAAGGTTATAACAGTAGATTTAGACGAGAAGAGTTCAAATGGATCATAAAGTACAAGTTTGGACCTTTAGGGCAGAATGGCTCATTTCTGTGTTATGTCTTTTACAATCCACGACTGTTAGCAGCTCTGGCAAGATTTGTCCTCTGAGAAACAGCTTGAACAATTACAACTATGTGGTTACAGGATACAGAGTACTATACACAACATAGTTGGCATAATATAACTGGAGCATTCTTGTTATCATACATATCGCAGAAAGAACCTGGTGTGTGGCTTGTGCACATAGGTATGCCTCCTTTTATTAAAAAGTTAGTTTGCAGTAAAATTGATCATGGTAGCTACATTGTTGTGAATTGGACATATGCTTTTCTTGATGCACTAAGTCATTAAACTTAAAATAATTTTTAACTTTAAACTGATTAACAATCATTAAACTGATGTCACAAGGTAAAGCAGGCCTGCAGATGTTTAAGCTGTGAACTTACTGATTGTTCAGTAAACATGAGCTTGTTTTCACACAAAAACTTGAACAGGTTATTACAAAATGTCACAATTGGAAAATATTAATGTAGTGTACAATGACTCACAAAAACTTTATCTCCAACAACATTCTCAAGCTGGAGCTGTCGTGTGATTTCTTTCAGTGCAACCTTGTCATCTGTTTGCAATAAACCTAAAACATAACCAAATAAAATGTCCAGTGTGGTCTTATTTATTCAATATTTGTAAAACAAAAATGTTTTCCTGTTTGTAATATTTTTGATTGATAAGTAACAAAAGGGTAGAAAAGGTCCTCCCAACTCAAGAAAACATTCATCATACAAATTCAAAATTGTAAGTAGGCCAAAACTGTAAAGGGAGGGGAGGGAACAGCACACAATGCAGAATGCCAAAAAAATTCTAACATTTGACAGTTGAGAGACCACAAAAAACCTAAAACTCTTCGTATCGGTTTAAGCAAGAGAAGAAACAGAAGATGGGCAACACAATAAATGATTGCTTCTTGCAGAAGTATATGAAAATACAGGGCAACAATTAACAATATACTATCGAAGAACAAAAAATATGCTGTCTGCATACTTCGGATGGTGACTTCAGTGGAACAGCAGTTCTATGGAGGTTGAAGCCAACAGAAGTTAAAACTAATAAAACAATGAAAAGATGGAGCCAGTAAGTGGAAAAACAGAAAGACAGACAACTTTTTTTCAGAAATGGTAAATTGCACGAGACCAACCACAGATTTTATTTAAGAACAGGTAGTAACACTTAAAATTTAAGTGAGGAAAAAAAAATAGCTGGGAGAGCCCCTGCTTCTGATGTGTACGATTACCTTGGAAATAAGCTAGTGCCATCCCTAACCAAAAACACGACTCTCCCTCCTCTCATTGCCTTTTCTATCCTTCTTATAGCATCTATACCCTAGATGCTAATCAGAAGGAAGTGGGTGGGGGGGGGGGGGTTGGGTGGTGGGCAGCAGGGAGGAGGAAAGGAGAAAGAAAGGAGAGTGGAGTTTTTGGTTAGGGATAACATTATGGTTGTACTTAGGGCGGATATTCCTGGGAGTATGTCCAGTGAAGTTATTTGCGTAGAGCTGAGAAATAAGAAAAGAAAAAGACGATCCCTTATTGGGATTGTACTGTAGACCCCTCCCCGGTAGTCAACAGGAGATTGAGAAGCAAATTTGTAAGGAGATCTCAAGTATCTGTAAGAATAAGAGAGTTGTAATGGTAGGGGATTTTAACTTTTCAAACATAGACTGGGACTGCCATGGTGTTAAGGGCTTGGATGGAGAGGAATTTTTTAAAGGACAAGAACATTTTCTGATTCAATACGTGGTTGAACCTACTAGTGAGTGAACAAGCAAAACTTGACCTTGTTTTGGGAAATAAGGCAAGGCAAGTGACTCAGGTGTCAGTTGGGGGGCACTTTGGGGCCAGTGATCATAATTCTAATAGTTTTAAAATAGTGACGGAAAAGGATAGACTGGATCTAAAAAGTTAAAGGTGTAAATTGGAGAAAGGCCAATCTTGATGGTATTAGGTAAAAACTTTCAAAAGTTGATTAGGAGAGGCTATTACCAAGTAAAGGGGTGGTTGGAAAGTGGGAGGCCTTTACAAATGAGATAATGAGAGAGTCTAGAGGCAACATGTTCCTGTTAGTGCAAAGGACAAGGCTGGTAAGTGTAGGGAATGCTGATGACAACAGAAATCAAGGCTCTGGTCAAGAAAAAGGAGGCATATGGCAGTTATAGACTGCTGGGATTGAGTGAATCACTCAAGGAGTATAAAGGGCAGTAGGAACATACACGAGGGAAATCAGGAGGGCAAAAGGATGATAGGAGATAGCTTTGGCAAATAGGATTAAGGAGAATCCAAAGAGATTCTATAAATACACTAAGGGCAAAAGTGTGAATAGGGAGAGAATAGGGCACCTTAAAAAAGGTCATCTATGGGTGGAACTGCAGAAGATGGGTGAGACAGTGGATGAGTATTTTGCATCAGTGTTTACTGTGGAGAAGGTTATGGAAGCTAGAGAACTTGGGAGAAACAGTGATATCTTGAGAAGTATCTATATTGTAGAGTCATGGTGCTGGACATCTTAAAGTGTGCAAAGGTGGATAAAAAGAACAAAGAAAGAAAATTACAGTACTGGAACAGGCCCTTTGGCCCTCCAGCCCTCCAAGCCTACGCTGATCCAGATCCTCTATCTAAACGTGTCACCTATTTTCCAAGGATCTGTATCCCTCTGCTCCCTGCCCATTCATATATCTGTCTAGATACATCTTAAATGACGCTATCGTGCCCGCCTCTACCACCTCCGCTGGCAACGCGTTCCAGGCACCCACCACCCACTGCGTAAAGAACTTTCCACGCACATCTCCCTTAAACTTTTCCCCTTTCACCTTGAAATCATGACCTCTACTAATTCAGTCCCCCACTCTGGGAAAAAGCTTCTTGCTATCCACCCGGTCTATACCTGTCATGATTTTGTAGACCTCAAATCAGGTACCCCCTCAACCTCCATCTTTCTAATGTAAATAATCCTAATATACTCAAGCTTTCTTCATAGCTAGCGCCCTCCATACCAGGCAATATCCTGGTGAACTTCCTCTGCACCCTCTCCAAAGCATCCACATCCTTTTGGTAACGTGGCGACCAGAACTGTACGCAGTATTCCAAATGTGGTCGAACCAAAGTCCTATACAACTGTAACATGACCTGCCAACTCTTGTACTCAATACCCCGTCCCATGAATGAAAGCATGCCGTATGCCTTCTTGACCACTCTATCCACCAGAGTTGCCACCTTCAGGGTACAATGGACCGGAGCACCCAGATCTCTCTGTGCATCAAATCTGCAGGACCGGATCAGATGTATCCCAGAACTTTGTGGGAAGCTAGGGAAGGAATTGCTGGGCCCCATGCTAAGATATCTGCATCAATAGTTATGGGTGAGGTGCCAGAACACTGGAGAGTGGTTAATGTGTTGCCATTATTTAAGAAAGGTGATAAGGCAAAGCCAGGGAACTACAAACTGGTGAGCCGGATGGTGGGAAAGTTGTTAGAGGGGATTCTGAGGGACAGGATTACGTGCATTTGGAAAGGCAAAGACTCATTACAGATAGTCAACAATGGCTGCGTGGATGGGAAATGACTTGTTTGAGTTTTTTAAAGTAGTAGTAAAGAGGAATGATCAAGGCAGAACGGTGGACTTTGTCTACATGGTCTTCAGCAAGGCATTCAACAAGGTTTCCTATAGTAGACTGGTTAGTAAGGTTAGATCACATGGAAAGGAGAGCTAGCTATTTGAATACAAAATTGGGTTGATGGTAGGAGACAGATGATGATGGTGAAGAGTTGTTCCATCGGCCTATAGGCCTGTGACCAACAGTGTGCCATATAAATTGGCGCTGGCTCCACTGCTTTTTATCATTTGTATAAATGATTTGGATGTGAATATAAGAGGGATGATTAGTAAGTTTGCAGATTTGTCTTCATTCCGTTCTTGCTCTGCAGTTGGTGGGGCCTTGGGTGTTTGGCCCATAAGTGGTCTTAACAGCACATAAGAAACCCTGCATTTCATGGTTGTTGGCCATTCATTGGGAATGGGCCTCCAGTGCCTTCTCCACCCACCACAGGTTATTTTAGTTGCAGGTTTGTGGTTGGACCTCTGTCTTCAGTCACCTTTAGGCCTGACTTTTCTCTTCTGGAGTGCAGGTACTGTTTTACACTCATATGCCATATTCTTCCGGGTTATCAGTTCTTGGACCTCCTGATCGTTTATCAAACCAGTCTTGGTGTTTCTTGGTTGAGTTTTTGCAGGCATTGATGATGGCAGTCTCAAGGGCAGACCAGAGGTTGTTGGGATTTTATGACTCAGTGTTGCCAAGGGTCACTAGATTTTTGGAGAGAAATTGGCTGTATAAGCCTTTTTTCTGGGTCTTTGAGTGCCTCAATGTTGAGCTTCTTGTGGCACTGCTGCTGTTGTTTCTGAGCAGTACAGATAAGGTGAACAGCAGGTGTCTTTTCCCTCGGTGGGGGATTTCAATGTTGGGGCCATTTTAAGGTGAGAGGAGAAAAAGATTTAAAAAAAGACATGAGGGGCAACTTTTTTCCTAAAAACAGAGAGTGGTTTGTGTGTGGAATGAACTTCCAGAGGAAGTGGTGGATGTAGGTACAGTTACAACATTTAAAAAACATTTGGGTAAGTACAAGAATCAAAAATGTTGGGAGGGATATGAGTCACATGCAGGCAGGTGGGGTTTGGTTTGGTTTGGGATTATGGATAGCTTGAACTGGTTGGACCGAAGGGTCTGTTTCTGTGCTGTATAACTGACTCTGACACCAAAATTGGTGGCGTAGCAGATAAAGGATGACCTTGATCAGATGTGCTAATGGGCTGAGAAGTGGCAGATGGAGTTTTATTTAGATAAATGTGAGGTGTTGCATTTTGGAAAGGCAAGCAAGGGCAGGACTGATACACTTAACGGTAAGGTCTTGGGGAGTACGGCCCAAAGAGATCTTGGGCTGTCAGTTCATAGTTCCCTAAAGATGCAGTCACAGGTAGACAGGGTAGCGACGACGATGTTTGAGACACTTGCCTTTTATTGGTCAGTGCATTGACTACAGGAGTGTGTCACATTGCAGCTGCATAGGATGCTGTTTAGGTCATTTTTGGAATACTGCGTCCAATTCTGGTCTCCCTGCTATAGTAAAGATGTGCTTAAACTTGAAAGGGTTCAGAAAAGATTTACATAGATGTCAGAGGGTTTGAGCTATTAGGAGAGGCTGAATAGGCTGCGGCTATTTTCCCTGGAGCGAAGGTTGAGGAGTGACCTTATTCAGGTTTAGAAGGTCATGAGAGGCATGGATAGGGTGAATAGCCAAGGACTTTTCCCTAAGGTAGGGGAATCCAAAGCTAGAAGGGATAGGTTTAAGGTAAGTGTGGAAAGATATAAAAGGGATGCAAGGGGCAACTTTTTCACACAGAGGGTGGTGTGTGTATAGAATGAGCTGTTAGAGGAAGTGGAGACTGCTACTATGGCAACATTTAAAAAGACATCTGGATGGGTACATGAATAGGAAGGGTTTAAGCCATATGCTGACAAAATGGGACTGATTAATTTAGGATATCTGGTTGGCATGGATGAGTTAGCACAAGGGTCTGGTTCAAGTTGTCACTATGCTTGTTAGTTAATTTGAAAATGTGAGCGAGAGCGAGAGCGAGACACACCACTTGACTAAGCTGTCAAGACCTTACCAAGCAAGCTCAATCAGGTAACAAGTTCCAGATGGCATAATTTAGTATGCAGTTTCTGAAGCAAAATTACTTATCAAATAGTATTGGAGTATTGCTGAAGCAAATAAAGACACTTTGACAAAGTCTTTCACCATGCATTCATCAATTTGGTCACAAAATGAAACATTTCCACAAAATGTACCTTTTTCTCAACAATAACTTACCCAAATTCAACATTATTTTGGTGCCAACTCCAAGCTCTCATGCATACTACTCAACATCTCCTTTCTTGTTCTATCTTAATGAGTATTCAGGATCTTCTACCTCTCAAAAAAAAATTCCAATTTCCCATCCACTCCATAGTTTAAACCAAACCCATAACCACACTGGTCTGACATTGCTTCAATGGAACTTTTGCAAAATGCCCTAGCACATCATGCCAGAAAACATTCCATAGAATGTAGTTGATTTAAAATGTAAGCTTCTCCTTCTTCTCAAACTGCTGCCTTTCTGTACATAATCTCTGTTAAAGTACATTTCTCCATTTTTTTTTTTTTTTTTTAAAAATGGTCTAACCACCCCTTCATCAACTTTCCATATTTTCTTCTGTTCATGAAAGGGAGTCTGTTCCTCTTTCTCCCTGCTGGGTTTGCAGAAATTGTTTCTCCTGCATTATATTTATATTTTGTTTCTTAATCATGTCAGTGTTTCATTTGTTTAGTCTGAACTTATTGGTTTCAGAAACATAAAGGCTTTATCCTTCAAAATGTGTTTCACTTGTCTTTTAGTGAGGTGTTCATAACCTGCCCTAATTTCCCTCATTGTTTGCACACTTTTTGATTTTAATCCCTTTTTTAAAAAAGTTATGTAACTGACTTAGTTTTGAGTACCTATAATGTCCAAAATTATCCCGTGGTTCCACATCCTCAGCAGTGTCAGGATTACTGCTCCCTGCACATTGCCCAAGTCTTTGGTAAATAACTGTTGAACATGAATAATAATTCTTGTGGATCTCCTGATGCATTAGGTCAAGAGTGGTTCTGCATTATATTTACCAGCTCTGTCTTTACATCATTTTGTCTTCTCCAACTCTTGGTGTTGGCTTGATTTGTTCTTTGTTTGAAGAATTCACTTTTATGTTCAAACATACTGTCTTTGTAGAGCCAACACAGGTTCCCTCAAAATAATCGGGAGGTCCGGCACATGCTGACTTGAAGGTCTGCAGATTAGAAATTCTCTTTTATTGATTATATTAGATGATTCTGTAACTGCATCTGCCTCCCAGGTGCTCGTGGCCATCTGGACTAGCCAGGAGCACTTGGCAGGCAGGTGCAGTTACAGAATCATCTAATATAATCAATAAAAGTTATATTTATATCCATAATACATATACTCTCCATTGGACTCTCACCATAGTCCCTTCATTTCTGATGAAGGGTCTAGGCCCGAAACGTCAGCCTTCCTGCTCCTACGATGCTGCTTGGCCTGCTGCGTTCATCCAGCTGGGCACCTTGTTGTCTCAGATTCTCCAGCATCTGCAGTTCCTACTATCTATGATTATTACTTGTTGGTTTACTTCAGTTAGCTTATGTTTTAGCACCATTGCTAATTAAAGATCAAAGCACAAAATGATCAGTCATTTTTGCACAAACTTATCACAAATTTAATTTTCTCTGGAGCTTTATCTGCAACGCAGATGAGACAACTAAAACAAGAACCAGGAAGATATACAGCCCTTTTCTCCCTCCATCATAAAGAAAGGTACATCTCAACATAAATTCACTCCATATGAAGTGATTTGGGAGGATACAGTAAGGTACAGCCCAAATGTCAGTCAATTCCCTTTCAGTACATGGGGGATATTTTTTGTATTCATCTGCAGTGTAAAGCTGGCAGTGTTGATTGTGTACCCATTCTAGAAATCAATTTGCTCTTCCACACATACCAAAAGGGAGGAAAGTAGTTTGGGATTTACCATAGGCATCCAGGCAGTGATGCCATTTTTTAATGCTAAAAGGAACATGTTGAAAATTACACTCCATCATCTCATCAAATCTGTACTCACTGCAATGCAAAGCACGTCAGTTTAAGTATTTACACAAATTCCTCATAGTTCCTCTAGTGAAAGATAGCGCACTGAAAATGTGACTCACCATTTAAGTGCACTTGTAGAAGATTCTCCTTGACATATTTCATTTCCATAAGTTCATTCAACACACTCTTCAGCAGCTGAAGCAAAAACATCAAAATTTAAAGCATCAACTCTGTCCATAGGCAGTTTTGTTTTGTGAACTTAACCCCTGAAAAATGAAGCAAGTGTCATAGATCTTCAAATGTAAGATTCACAAATTAGTACCAGGTCCCAATTAATGATTATTTTAGCACTGATACAAATAACACTTCAGGCCTCTTGTGGTACAGTAGTGTCCCTGCCTATGAACCAGAAGACATGGGTTCAAATCCACCTACTCCAGAGGTGGGCAGTAACATCTCTGAACAGGTTGATTTGAAAATATCTACAATATTTTGGGTCGATATCCTAAACCTAATTCAGATAGGTTTTTTTTCTTTTTGCTGGCAGAAGCATAGAATAATAAATGACATCTGTAAATTGGGAGAATGAAGAATTGACAGCGAGACAAAGGGGGTGAGAAGAGAAGAGTGAGAAAGGGATAAAGTCACTTAAATCACTTCACTTAAATCTATGTAGCTGTTACAGACAGGGATTCAAGAGAATACTGCACAAGTGTTGTTTCTGGGTACGATACAATGTGTGTTTTTGATGCTGTACAAAAGCTGTGATTTTTGCTTCAATTTATAAATGGATGTTTTGGGATTAATGTGATTAGACCTCTAATGCAGGTTTAAAAATCTTTAAATTTATATTATAACTAGATTGTTTAGTATATTCTCTCATCTTAATTTAGTTTATTGTTAAAATTCTGCAATGTTGCATGCTGGTGTTTCAGACAAATCACTATTAATAATCAAAACAAAATATGATGTATCAAGCTAGGTTTCAATCTGGGATCTGACTTCTGTGCTATATCATTTCTGTGGCTCAATGATTCGAAAAGAGCCATTCAGCCCATCTTGTCCATGCTGACCCAAAGACTCCCAGATGCCCTTTCTAATCCCATCTTCCTGCATCTTACAATACTTAAGGTGCAGATCCAGGTACTTTTTTTTAGAAGAAAAAAAAAAGGTTTAGGGTCTCTGCCTCCATCTCCAACTCAGGCAGTGAATTCCAGACACCCACCACCCTTTGTGTCAAAAAAGTTTTTTCTCACGTTTAATCCTTCTGCCACTTAGCTTGAACATATGACCTTTGGTTTTTGAGCTCTACCAAGGGATCAGATTCTGTCTATTCTCGTTATTTTTCTCTACACCTCAATTTTGTACACCCCAATCGCGTCACCCCTCAGCCTTCTGTTCCAAGGAAAACAACCTCAACCTATTCAATCTCTCCTTATAGATACAATTCCCCAGCCTTGACAACATTCTAGTAAATCTTCTCTGTACTTTCTCCAGAACAATTACTTCCTTCCTGCAAGGTGGTGACCAGAACTGCACACAATACTCCTGTTGTGGCCTCATTGGACATATAGTCAGAGTCACAGATGTACAGCACTGAAACAGACCCTCCAGTCCAACTCATTCATGCTGACCAGATCCTAAATTAATCTAGTCCCATTTGCCAGCATTTGGCCCACATCCCTCTAACCCTTCCTATTCATATACCCATCCAGATGCCTTTTAAATGTTGTAATTGTACCAGCCTTCACCACTTCCTCCGGCACCTCATTCCATACATGGCACCACCTTCTACATGAAAATGTTGCCCCTTAGGTCCCTTTTATCTCTTTTCCCCCTAGGTTTGAACTCCCCCACCCCAGGGAAAAGAAGATCTTGTGTTTTTACCCTATCCATGCCCCTCATGATTTTGAAAGTCTCTATAAGGGGTCACCCCTCAGCCTCCAACATTCCAGGGAAAACAGTCCCAACCTATTCAGCCTCTCCCTATAGCACAAACCCTCCAGCCCTGGCAACATCCTTGTAAATCTTTTCTGCACCCTCTCAAGTTTCACAACATCCTTCCTATAGCAGAGAGACCAGAATTGCATGCAGTATTCCAAAGGTGGCGTAACCAATGTCCTATACAGCCACAACATGACCTCCCAACTCCTATATTCAATGCACTGACCAATAATGGTAAGCATACCAAATGCCTTCTTCACTATCCTACCTACCTTTGACTCCACTTTCAAGAAACTATGAACCTGTTTTCCAAGGGGTCTGTTCCACAACATTCCCCAGGACCTTACCATAAAAAAGGTGTATAAATCCTGCCCTGATTTGCCTTTTCAAAATGTAGCACCTCAGATTTATCTAAATTAAACTCCATCTGCCACTCCTCAGCCTATCAGCCCATCTGATCAAGATCCCATTGTATTCAGGAGGTAGCCTTCTTCGCTGTTCACTATACCTCCTAGTTTGGTGTCATCTACAATCTTACTAACCATACCTCCCATGTTCACATTCAAATAAATTAAAACGACAAAAAGCTGTGGACCCAGCTCTGGTCCTTGTGGCACAGGCCTCCAGACTGAAAAGCAACCCTCCACTACTACCTTCTGTCTCCTACCTTTGAGCCAGTTTGTATCCAAATGGCTAGTTCTCCCTGTATTCCATGGGATCTAACCTTACTAACCAGTCTATCATGAGGAACCTTGTTGAACGTCTTACTGAAGTCCATATAGACATGTCCAATAACATCAGCTGGGATGATAACAATGAGTTAATATCAACACCAAAATCTCTGCTCCTGATTTTAGTGCAAATAGCAGCCTTTAATTTAAGTGCCAGCCAATTAAAACAGTTTGAAAAACACGAAAGACTGGAATTATTAAATTTTGTCAAGTATATTCTATTAGGAAAAGAGGTCAAAAGTGCCCTGCAGCAATTACAATAAAATAAAACACTTTTTTTTAAAACTGGCATATGACTATCAATTCAAATGAACCTTCCACCAACTATGGAATGAAGTTCGCACCTTTCATTAAAAGGTTAATTGTCTGAATTGATTGCATAATTTCAAATGTTAATCTGAATAGTATATTAATTCAGTTAAATCAATCCATACAGCAATACATAGTGTTTTTTGTAAGAATTAAACATATCAAAAGGAACAAAACAGCCCTCAAACATAAAAAAAAACTTAAGAAGGAAAGTCACACCTTTTAACTAGTGGTCTAAACCAACACAGTTATTGCCTTGACACACAAGAATGGAGAATAAAAAAGGATCATTCTACACATTAAAGTAGTTTTCAAATCCACTCATGGTAACAACTTTTTGAATGTCCTGCATGTTTCTATCACTGCCATTCAGACTGAGATTCTTTCCAAGTCACAAACATACCCTAAGGCCAGCCATTCAAAGACAGCAGACAAGGAAAGGTCTTGCTTCTACGCTTAATATCCAGCAGAATTTTTTTTAAAAGTAATTGATTTCAGTGTTGTCAGTAGGCAGGTTGATTGGGGAAAAAAAAAATCAGGTTGGTAGTTGGTACAGGATATCAAGAAAAGGAAATTGTGGAATGTCTACAAGATTTTTTATGGAGCAGCTTGTGGTAGAGCTCACTAGGGAACAGGCAATTCTGGATGTGGTGATGTATAATGAGGCAAACTTGATGAGGGAGCTTAAGGTGAAGGAACCCTCAGGGGGCAGTGACCATAATATGGTACAATTCATCATGCAGTTTGAGGGGGAGAAGCTGGAATTGATGTAATGGTATCACAACTGAATAAAGTTAACTACAAAGACATGAGGGAAGAGCCGTCCAGAGTTTTTTGGAAGAGGAGCCGAGCAGGGAAGATGGTGGAGCAACAATGGCAAGAAGTTCTGTGGGTAATTTAGGAGATACAGCAGAAATTCATCCCATGGAAGCAGCAGCACCACAGTAAGGGGAGGATGAGATAACCATGGCTGATAAGGGAAGTCAGGGACAGCATAAATGCAAAATAAAAATAAAATGGTGAAGATTAGTGGGAAGCCAGAGGATTGGGAATCCTTTAAAAGCCAGCAGAGGATAATTTAAAAAAAAAACAAATGGGGGAGGGGGGTGGGCAGGTGAAAGAGAGATGATGATGAAGTATTAGGTTAAGCCAGCAAGCAACATAAAAAGAAGATCGCAAGAGATCTTTCAGATATCTAGAAAGGTCAGGGAGGCAAGAGTGGACACTGGAAAATGAGTTTGGAGAACAAGCAACAGGGAACAAAGAAATGGCAGAAGAACTGAATAGGTACTTTACATCAGTTTCAGTGAAAGACACCAGCAACAGTCCAGAACTTCAAGGAGAGTCAGGGGGTAAAGGTGAGTGTAGTGGCCTTCACTAAGGAGAAGGTGCCAAGGAATCTGAGACGTCTGAAAGTGATAAAAATCACCCAGACCAGCTGGATTACACCCTAGAGTTCTGAAGGAAATAGTAGAGCAGTTTGTGGAGACATTGGTGGAAGGATGGACAGAGAAGGAAGTGATGTAGCTTTGTTTATAAAAGGAAGAGATCAGTGTTGCAGTGAGAAGTGATTTTTGCTCTGGGATTAAGACACAAATTAGTCTGGGTAGAAATATCAAGGGAAAGAAGTCCCCTGGTGGGAGTAATCAATGGGTCCCCTAACAGTAGTTCCATAGCAGCACACAGTACAAATCAAGAAATGCCAAGGGCTTGTAAGAAAGATATGACAATAATCATGAGTGCTTTTAATATGCATATAGACTGGATAAATCAAATTGGCAAGGGTAGCCTCAGGGAAAAAAAAAGTTCATTGAATGCATTAGAGATTGATTTTTGAAGCGATATGTTGGTGAACCAGCCAGGGAGCAGACTATTTTGGATTTAGTGTTGTGTGATGATATGGGATTAATTAATGATCTCTTAGTAAAGGATTCTCTTGGGAAGACAGAACATAGCATCCTGGACAGAAAGACTAAAAAGGTAGCACAGTTGATGAACAATGACAAACATTAAAAAGATATGCAGCCCTTCCTAACTAAAATATATTCTACAAAGAAATATTGTGAAGCGGAGGTTGGGGGGAGGGGGATGCAAATAAAAAAAAATCCAGGACTGTAAGTTAAAGATAAAGGCAAAAACTAAGACATACCATATGGCAAAGGTCAGTGGCAGACTGGAAAATGTAGAAACTTTTAAAAATCAACTAAGGATTACTGAAAAAGTAGTAAAAACAGCAAAAAGGTTCATTAAGGAAGAAAACTAGTGCAAAATATAAAACAACGAAAAAAAGGACAGGACTAAAGAGAGTGAAGAATGTACTCAAGCCACGGGGATTAAAGGCAGTCAAGTCCCTCGACCTACATCCTAAGGTCTTAAAGAAAGTGGCAACAGAGGTAGTGGATGCATTGGTTGTAATATTCCAAACTTGCTGGATTCAGGAAAGGTTACATTAGCTTTTTTCCAAATCTACTGGAAAGTCTATATTCAAAATAAAAAGGAAGGGTGGCTGAAAATAGGAAACTAGCTAGTTTAACGTCGGTCGTTGGGAAATAGTTGGAATCCATTATTAAGGAAGTAGGAACAGGACATTTGGAAAGTCAAAAACCGATCCAACAGAGTCAGTATGGTTTTATGAAGGGCAAATTACGTTTGACTAATTTGCTAGTATTTTCTTCAAAGTTGTAACAAGCAAAGTAGATAACGGGGTTCCTGTAGCTTTAGTATATCTGGACTTCCAGGAGGTATTTGATAAAGTGCTGCACAAAAGCTTAGCACACAAGAACATCTGGGGTTAGCGTGGATGGAGAATTCGCTAACTAACAGGAACCAGAGTCAGCATGAGTGGTTTTGCTGGGGTACCACACAACTCAGTCCTCAGGCCCCAACTACTTGCAATCTATATTAATGACTTGGATGCACAGACAGAAAATACTATTGCCAAATTTGCAGATGGCACTAAAATAGGAGGCAAGGTAATGTAAAATGAAAAAATAAGAGATTTACAAATGGAATGGATGAATTAGGTAAATAGCCAAAATTTGGGAGAGAGAGTTTAGCACGAATAAGTGTGGGATTATCCATTTTGGTCAGAAGAATAAAAAGGCAACTTCTTATCTAAGTGGAGAGAAACCTCAGTGCTTTGGTGCAGAGGGATCTGGGTGTCCTCTTGCATGAATCAGAAAAGCTACTATGCAGGTAATGAGGAGGGCAAATGGAATTTTGCCACTTATTGCTGAAGGAATGGAGTAGAAAAGTAGGCAAAATTTACTAAAAAGGTAGAAGGCACTGCTGAAACCACATCAGAAGTACTGTGTACAGTTTTGCTCCCCTTCCTTGAGGAAGGATGTAATTGCATTGGAAGCACTTCAGAGAAGCTTCACTAGTTTAATTCCAGGGATGAAAGGCTTGGGTCATCAGGTTAGGCTGAATATCTTAGGCCTATACTCGCAAGTTTAGAAGAACGAGATCTGAGATAAACAAGATGCTATGAGAACTGAAAGTAGATGTAGAGCACTTGTGTCTCCTCGTGGGGCAATCTAGAAATGAGAGGTCATAGTTTTAGGCTAGACTGGCAGGTTTAAAACAGAGAGAAGGAAGAATCATTTCTCTCAAAAAGGGCTGTGAATCTGTGGAATTCACTACCCTAGAGTTCAGAGTATGCCAGGATGTAGAGAGATTTTTAATTAGTTCTGCGTTAAAGAGTATGGGAGGAGGTAGGAAAGAGACATTGAGGTGGAGAAGAGATCAGTAATGATCATATTACATAGTGCAGCAGGCTCAAGGAGCTGAATTACTGAATCCTGCTCCTACTTCTTAAGTAATAACAACCTAAAATTCTCCTAAGCGAAGCCCACTACTTTAGATCCTCTCCATCTGGATTTCAATGAAACAAATGTCAATTTCACCCTATACTCTGCCCATCTTGTGCTAAGATACTTATCCTCAAAATGATCTGCAGACTGTTATTCCAAAGCCTTCCTTGCTGTATCATATCCTGCACTCTATGTGAACATAAGCCCATTTGAAACTCTACCTCCTACATCCTATTATATAAGATTTCCAATTACTCCAACTTCCCTGTTGTCCCTGACTGGTGGCTCCCAAACATTAAAAAAGTTTTCATTGTAGTCCATAAATTCATAAGCATTATCACTGTCTGTTTCTGCTATTTCCTCCAGTCCTACCTAATTAGTTTTATTCAAGTTTCCAAAATCAGTACCACTCAAATATTTCCTCTTCACCCGGAGAAGAGAATATATTTTTTGTCCCATGGTTTTGCATTGGTCCATCTTGCAGTTGCAACTACATTTGAATGTCACTGAAGGCTGTACTGTTTCATTACTACAACCAGCCATAGTAACTACTAACGTATCATTGCGAGACCAAACCATCTGGAAACTTGACATTTCATTTTCCCTCGAGAGTTAGGCAAGAGACATAAAGTTACATAAACAATACAAACCATTGTCTTTCCTACTCCCCGGGGACCAACAATGAGGACAGAGTTACTCTCCCCCTGAACAGCTGTTTGTTTCAGAAGATCCATCAAATTTCTGGAAAATAACAAAGTAACACATCAGTTTTAAATGCTGTAAAAATATTCTGAAAAAGGTGATTGCACTTTCAGCATGAATTGTATAGTGGTCTCTTTCTTTATCAGAGGGGGTGTCATGCACAATTCTATCTTCATATATTCTGCTAAAAAAGGTTTAAGCAATCATTTGTGTACTTAAAAAAAAACATTAAATTAAAAAGGTAGAAATTTTCAAGACATGTTGCTATTTAAGACTTCAAAATGAATTCGGGAAATTTACTGAAACCTGTCATGTATTTCAACTGAGCCAAGACTTGGAATTTATATCTGAATGAACTGCTGAATTTATTGAAGAAGTCACTCGAAAGATAATTGGACGTGTACATGGATTGAAAATAAAAGAAAATTCTAAAAATACACACAGCAGGTCAAGCAGTATCTATAGACTGAGGAACGTTAATCCAAGTTTGGTGAACATTATCTATAGATGTTGGTTATATTAGATAACTGGGTAATATGAGTGAATAATTGGTTAGGGGTAGGAGTGGGGATAAAGAGAATGTTCCTTGATTGACAAAACCTGACAAATGAAATGCTGCAAACATCTGTTCTGGGAATAATGCAAACTTAGTAGCCCATTCAACCTCACAAACCTACTTGGCTAATCAATAAGACCATGGCTGATTTGTTTGTGCTTAAATTTATCCACTTCCAATAACTCCTGATTCCACAACCTAACAAGAATCCCTCCACCACTGTCTTAAAAACATTCATTCAATCACCTTACCACAACCATCTTGATATAAAGGGATGCAAAGCTGCACAATCCTCAGAGGAAAAGAAATTAACTTCAAATTTTAAACCATGTCCTCATGTTCTGGCCTGACCCACAAGAATAAACGTTCTTCCCATATCTACTTTGTCAAGTCTATTTAGGATTTTGTATACTTAAATCAAGTCACCCTCACTCTTTTAAACTCCAGTGAAAAACACATCATGCCTGTCCCATCTTTTCTCATAAGACAACGTGCTCATTCCTGGTATCAATCAAGTAAATTACCTCCAAAACATTTGCTTGTTTAAAGGAAGCGAGCAAAACTGCACATAGTATTTTGAAATGTGGTCTTACCAATGCCCTACAATGGTGTAGCACAATATCCCAAGTTTTATGTTCAGTTCCTCTGACATTTAATGTTACCATCTCATTAGCCTTCTTGATTATGTGCTGGACCTGCAATACTAACATTTTGAGACTCATGCAGCAGAACATCTAAATCCCTCCACACTTCTGAATTCATTAGTTGTCCTCAATTTAAAAAAAATACTTTTTTGGTGTTCTTCCTGCCAAAATGAACAACATGACATTTCTCACACTGTACTCCATCTGCCAGACATATGCTCACTCGTTCAACGGATCTATATCCATCTGTAATGTAGGTCTTCTTCACATCGTACTTTCATATCTATTTTGGTGTCACCTGTGACTTTAATTAACATGCCTTTACTCCCCCTATCTAAGTCTTTGATGAAAACTGCAAAATGTGGAATTCAGCACAGACACCTGCAGTACTCTTATCAAATCCCTTCTGTAAAGCCAAGCACAGAACTGACGAAGGACAGCCTGTAATCACAGTATATGTTAATCTTTAAAAGACATCTAATAAATTGATTAGACAATTTCTAAACATGACAAAGACAATGCTGACTCTTCCCAATTAGCCTGAGTTTTTCTACTACATAGGCAGCTACAATCTCTTCAATGATCAATTATAACACCTTCCCACAATAGATAAGTTAATTGGCTGTTTCCTGCTTTGTGCCTCCCCCACTTTCTTGAATATACAGGGATTATTTTTTGCTGCTTCTCAGTCCAGTGGAATCTTACCTGAATCTAGAAAATTTTGAAAAATGAACGCCAACACATATTACCTCATCAGGAAACCAAGAGCCGAGGATGAAATTCATCCCGACCTGGACTGGAGCCTGCATCTCCATCAATTTAATGAATACACTTCCCTCGAGATTGTAATTTTGCCAACTCATCTCTTCCTACCACTCCTGATTTACAGCTAACACAAAAAAATTTAGTATCTGCTTTGTCAAGACAGAAACAAAATATTTGTTCACTTCACCTGCCATTTCCTTACTATCTACTATACAATCCCCATTCCCTATCTCTTTACTTTTTTCCTTTTTCAGTACTTGTAGAAACTCCTGCTTCAGTTTGTGTATTATTAGCTTGTTTCTTCTCATACTCTATTTTCTTCCTCAAATAAGATTTTAGTCATTTTCTGTCATTGCTCAGAATATAAACAATCACCAGACCTGCCACTTACTTTTGTGCAATTATGTGCTTTTTCATATTTGATACCTTCCCAATTTCTTGTGTTAACCGCCAATGGTGGGCCTCCATTTAGAATTTTTCTTTATGGCAAGAATATATTGTTCCGTACATTCTGAAATATCCCCTTAAACGTCTGCAACTGTTGCTTGATCTATCCTCTATGGCTAGTATGCCAGTTCGCTTTAGGCAGGCAGCTTTCATGGCCGCAAAGTTGTCCTTATTTAACATTTGGAAAAAAGCCTCAGCCTCAGCCTAGCCTTCTCTCTTTCAAACTGAATTTAAATACAATCATATTCTGGTCACTGCTACTCAAGGGTGCCTTTACAGAGACCATGAATCAATCCTGCTACAATATAAAGCTTAATATAACCTGATCTCTGTATCCCCACCCAAACTTATTCTACATCTTGATCTCTAAATATCACAAAATCCATCCTTGATTAACAACACCACCCTTCCACATTTAGATAGCTTCCCATTATACTTGAATGGCATATCCCTTCAATATTCAGGATCCACTCACCAACAATCTGAAGCCATATCTCTATAATGGCTATCAAATCATATTTATGTACCTCAATATGGGCTATCAGTTTGTTTACTTGGTTATGGATTCAGATAGAGACTTGAATTTTGCCTATTTGTTACTGTGTGACATCTAGTCTTGATTGGTGCTGCCCTAGAATTCTTTTCCCCTCTCAGTCCATGTACGTCATTCTCCGGTCACGTCATTGCCCACATTAGTTTATTCCTTTTTTACTTTGTCCTTTTGATATACCATATTTTCCACATTTGGTCCCTTGCCCTTAACTATTTAATTTAAAAACCCTCTCTACTTCCCTTCGTATTTAGTTCACAAGAATACTGGCCCCAGCACAGGTGCAGACTGCGGAACACAATTTTTCTACATATGCATTAAGAAACGGTCACTTGTTAGCAGAGAAATTGAGTATTTTTGAAAAAGAGGAATGTTGCTGAAGCTTCATACCTTGCACTCAATCAGGTCAAAGACGAGAATACCAAACTTCAAAACATCACAATAATTTGCATTACAGTAGAAAGGGTGCTAATTGGCTGGCAAATTAATTCTGTATGACCAAGGCATTGTCACTGACAAAACAAGGGGGAAATTATATACTCCCCAAGTTTAAAACAACCTCAAAAAAGTTGGAAGGGTTGAACATATTTCTTTTGTTTGCAAGGAATTGATCTCAGTATAGGAAGGTAATGCTTTTCGCAAGCTTAAGCGAAGAGTTAGCGTTGTAGGTCAATGTCATCAAGCTGAAATGCTAAAATTTCCTATATACACATTCTGCCTGATCTGCAGAGATTTTAAAAATTATTTTGTTACAAACTCAATGGATTTTAAATTTGTTGTTGGTGTAGTTATTAGTGCACTCAAGATCACAATTCAACAATTGAATATCAAACAATGGAGATTTTGCTTTGCATCTTGCAAGTCTATGAACAAACACAAAAAGTTGCTGGAAAAGCTCAGCAGGTCTGGCAGCATCTGTGAAGAAACATCAGAGTTAATGTTTCAGGTCCGGTGACCCTTCCTCAGAATTGGACTCGAAACATTAACTCTGATGTTTCTTCAGAGATGCTGCCAGACCTGCTGAGCTTTTGCAGCAACTTCTGTTTTTGTTCCCGATTTACAGCATCTGCAGTTTTTTTGATTGTATACGATGAACATACTGCCAGATTAGATCAGCCATTTTCTTTTATGACAAATGGCCAATGTAATGGGCATCACACTAGCAATGAAATTCATACATAACTTGCTCAATTGTGGGGTTGTCAGAAAATATTTTTGGACTCATAGCTACACCCTGTTAATGGAAAATATCACTTCTGCAGCTGAATTGAACAGCATATTCCTACAGTTGTTCATAATAGATAATGGAAGTGTATGTCCACAAATCCCCGAACACAGCGGAACAGGTAGAGAAGATGGCAGTTAACAAGGGAAATGGGATACTTTCCTTTATTAGCTGAGACATAGCTTCCTGGTTAGATTCTTTCATTGGAACTGTAAAAAGTACTATTTTGGCCACAGATTGAAGCGTACATCTTATTCTATTACAATATAGACCCAGGTTCGATACCACCCTCAGGCGACTTTGTGTCAAGTTTGCACGTTCTCCCAGAGTTTGCGTGGGTTTCCTCCGGGTGCTCTGGTTTCCTCCCACAGTCCAAAGATGTGCAGGCTAGGTGGAGTGGCCATGCTAAAATTGCCCATATAGTGTTCAGGGATGTGTAGATTAGGTAGGGTATAGGGGGATGCTTCTGGGTGGGATGCTCTGAGGGTCAGTGTGGATTTGTTGGGCCAAAGGGCCTATTTCCACACTGGAGGGGTTCTATGATTCTATGATAATACAAGGGGGATACAGTTGCACTGAACAGATTACACAGGACATTTACAAGGATGCTTTAGGAGTGAAAAAAAAGTTAATTATCAGCATAGGGAGGTGGAAGGCAAATGTAATTGAAGTGTATAAATTTGTAAATGGCAGGGATAGAAAAGATGGAAGGATATATTTCGGTTAGCAGGGAAGTCAGTTCCTTAAATCTATGTCCCCGGGTTAAAAATGATCAGTCTTGGGGTTTGTGAAGAGTCAAGAAGAAATGTTTCATTTATCCTCCACTTTAATTTCTCCATCATCAATATACCATCTAAAAAAAATGCAATTGCCAGGCTTTCTTTCAAATCTCAAAACTCTTCAACTGAGGGGAAAAGGGCACAGAGTCATAGAACACCGTAACAGACTCTTTGGGCCAACAGTCCATGTCGAAAATAATCCCAAGCTAAGCTAGACCTACCGGCCTGCTCCTGGCCCATATCCATCCAAACCTTTCCTATTCACGTACTTATCCAAAGGTCTTTTAAACACTGGAATTGGGTATAATTACACCACTTCCAATGGAAGCTCATTCCACATGTGAACCACCTTCTGTAACGAAATTTGTCCCTTGTGTCTTTTTAAATCTCTCTTCTCACCTTACAAATGGGCCCGCTAATCTTGATATCCCCCATCCTAGGAGGAAGACAACTACCATTAACCCTATCTGTGCCCCTCATTATTTTATAAACTTCTGTAAGATCGTCTCTCAACCTCCTATGGTCCAGTTTAATAAAAAAGTCCCAGCCTTTCTTTATAACTCAAACCTTCCATCCTGGTAAATCTCTTCTGAACCCTCTCCAGCTTAATAACATCCTTCCTATAAGTACAAGACCAGAACTGGACATGGTATTCCAGAAGAGGCCCCACCAATATTCTGTACAATCTCAACATGATGTCCCAACTCCTATATTCAAAGGACTGAGCAAATGAAGGCAAATGTGCTAAACGGTATTTTAACCGCCCTGTCTATAATGTGACAACTTATATTGCCATTCCTTTATCATCATTTTGACAGAAAACTGGAACCACCTAGTAGTACTGCGGATGTACCTATGCCACATATACATACATAACTCAAGGTCATGACTCACTACCGCCTTCGTAAGGGCAATGAGGATGGGTAGTAAATATGACCAGTGTTGTCCATGTGCATGAACATATTTTTGGATTTTAAAAAACCATCAGTGAGACACCATGCAATGCTGATGATCCGGGGGTATCACTTACTTGTACTGAGCTTCCAATCCAAATGGTTTACCAGGAAGGTGATGGCAGAACCGTGCTCTCAATATCATGTGAGCCTGTTAACAGAATCAGAAATAAGATTATGCTGTTTATAATAAAACACTACATAAATTTAATCTCTTCTCAACTAAAACAAAAATTAGTTTTTGCTTTTAAGTAATTTCATTGCAAAGTGACACTAACATTCGTTTTAAAGTTCACGGCTCCTCATTCTTAGACTGACTTACCTAGATTTAATTCCTTCAGTTCCATCTGAGTCAATGGGCAGCCAGACTCTGTCCCTAGTTCATCACAATTTCTTTTACACTCTGGCTGACATGGTGACCTGTACTTGGAGGTCCTTAAACCAGTCTTCTGCCATACTTCCTCATTGGCGAAGTGGTCTTTCAATGTGACATCCAGAATCTTGCTGTTACCCATGTATTGAAAGATGCTTAAACTTACATGTCACCTTTCACATTGCCATGGCACTGTGGAACAATTACAGATATGCAGGGCCCAGCTTCAGGGATGCGGTGGTGGTATTGGATACCCAGACCATATGAAGCTTACTGATGCTGCTTTGCGGATTCCTGCATGGATATTAAATTCTACGTTTCTCTCCCCAAAGATTTGGTTTCCTTGGAGGGGAAGCAGTCAACATCCTTGATGTGCTCAATGTATTGAGAGGGTAACAGTGTGGAGCTGGAGGAACACAGCAGGTCAGGTACCATTAGAGAAGCAGGAAAGTTGACATTTCGGGTCAGGACCCTTCTTCAGAAATCCTCCATGGTAACGAGAGGGCTTTGTTTCTATCTAGACATCCTTTCTTAGTTTCCTTGACATGTCTTGTGAAGATCGGTCTTGGCCTAGTTACTCTTAAGACATTGTTTTATAAACTTATTCGTGGGATGTGGGCATTGCTGGTTGGGCAAATATTTATTGCCCATTCCTAGTGAGCTGCCTTCTTGAACTGCTGCAGTCCATTTGATGTAGATAGACTCATAATCCGGATGTTCTAGAATTTGACCCAGCAACAGTTAAGGAACAGCAATGTACTTCCAAGTTAAGATGCTGAGTGGCTTGAAGAGGAACTTACCAGTAGTGATGTTCGCATTTGCTCCTCTTGTCCTTCTAGATGGCCATGGGTTTGGAAGGTAGCATCTATGGAGACTTGGTGTACTTCTGCTGTGCATTTTGTAGGTGGGACATACTACTGCTACTGTGCGTTGGTTGTGGCGGGAGTGAATGTTTGTGCTTGTGATGCCTATCAAGTGGCCTACTTTGTCCTGGATGTCTGTTTTTCTAATCACTTATGGCATATGGTCATCACTGGTTGGGCCAACATTTATGCCCATTCCTAACTGCCCTTGAGGCAGTAGTGGCCAGCTGACTTCTAGAACCACTGAAATCCATTGTCCTAGATTGTGTCAAGCTTCTTGAGTATTGTTAGAGATGTAAGTATTCCATCACATTCTTAATGTGTGCCTTGTAGGTGACAGATAGGCTTTGGGGAGCCAGGAGAACTCCAAATCTCCGACAGACTCTTGTAGCAAGTGTTCATATAGTTAGTCCGGTTCAGTTTCTGGCCAATGGTAACCTCAAGAAAGTTGGCAGTTGAGGATTCAGTCATAATGTCACTGAATATCAAAGAGCGATGGTTAGATACTCTTGGAGATTCTTATTGCTTGGCATAAAGATCACTTGCCACTGGTCAGCCCAAAACATGGGTATTGTCCAAGTCTTGCTACATTTGGACATGGTTCACTACAGTAGCCGATAACCCATGGTGTTAAGCATATTATAATCATCAGCAAACAACCCTACTTCTGTTCTGAGGAAGGGTTGCTTGACACGAAACGTTAACTCTAGTTTCTCTCAGTGCTGACCGACCAACTGAGCTTTTCCAGCAACTTCTATTTTTGTAACCCTACTTCTGGCCTTATGATGGCAGGAAGATCATTGATAACACAGCTGAAAAATTCCTGCAGTGATATCCTGCAGCAGAGTTGATAGGGTGAATAGCCAAGATCTTTTTCCTTAGTGGGGGAAAGGGGTGGAGTCCTAAACCGTAGGGCATAGGTTTAAAGTGCAAGGGGCAAAGATTTAAAGAGAATCTGAGGGGGTTACTTTTTCAAACAGAGCATGTATAGAACGACCTGCCAGAGGAAGTGGTGGAGGCAGATACAATTGCAACATTTAAAACACATCTGGATGGGTAAATGAATAGGAAGGATTTAGAGGGATATGGGCCAAACGCTGGCAAATGAGTCTAGGTCAGATTAAGATGTCTGGTTAGCATGGAGGAATTGGACCGAAGGGTCTATTTCCAGGCTGTATAACCTTATGACTTTATAGTTATAACCATATGCCTTTGTGCCAGGTAGGATTCAAACCAGCAGAGTTTTTCGCGCTCTGCCTCCTGATTCCCATTGACTCCAGTTTTGCTAGAGCTCTTTGATGCCATATTCCATCAAATGCAACCTTGAAGTCATTCTCCACTCCTGTCTAAAATCCAGTTCTTTTGTCCACGTTTGATCCAAGGCTTCAAAAAGGTGGTCAGGAGCAGAGTGGCTTTGGCAGAATCCAAACTAAGTTTGAGTGAGCAGGTTACTGCTTAGCAAAAGCCACTTCACAGCACTGCTGATGACACCTATCACCAACAATCAGCTTCCATGAAACCAGTAACCAACCTGAAAATGCACATTCGCTCCCTCATTACTTGATGTTAACAAGAATTCTGGAAACAAAGATTCTGGCTGAAAACTACTGCTGATTTAAAACAAATGTGAGAAAATTGGAGGTCAGGATAGAAGAGCAGAAACAAAACTCTAAAGTACTGGGAATTTCTCAATTTCCTTCAGGTTCTGTTACCATTCAATAATTTCCTCAACTTTAATGCAACTCATCCGGTAATTTACAAATGCTTTATTGCAAATATCTAGGCATTTATTTACACTGGCTATGCCATTGCAGTAAAATACAGATGTTGGACAACCTAATTCACCACAAACCAAAAAAAAAGTATGAAGAAAACTTGCAGAGAGCAGGCCTAAAACGAAGGACAAGCAGAAAAGGAAGCAGCACAGAACTGCATGGCAACTGATGCAAGAGGTGAGCATGAGCAGATATAAGTTTTAACATGTGAACAAGACAACACTTAGGCCCAAGCATTTGCTCCAGAGCTGGGTAGTTTCCAGACAGTTTTTTTTAAAAACCTTTCACTGACACATGCAGGCTGTTTCACTCTTCTTTAAAGGATTTAAATAACTTCATAGCTTGATAGTTCTACAGTAAATATTTGTAACTTCTGCACTCTACAAGAACTTATTTCAGTGAAAATGGGGTTCAAATGACCATTCCAAATTTAGATTTCACTCCGCTACGAGTCAAGCCCCATCCCCTTTTCTCTCCTGGGGAGAGAAAGAATTTTGAAAATGGGGGCTGGACTATCAGTATCTGCCTGCCATTTGGGATTCTTTACAGGTTTTCCGTGACTGCAGGAAAATCCAGGCCTCAGTCACTCATTATAGACACCAAAGCAAACCCACTTGCATAATTATGAATTGTAGCTTTCAAAATTAGTTCAAAGCTAAATTACATTTTAAAATAGTAATAAGGCAGAAACATTAATGTACTTTGTTTTAAACTACCTAGCAAAACATTTTCTTTTAACATTGAAATATACAAATCAGTAATTGGTGCAAGGTCTGGAAGAATGGCCTTTCAGTTTTTTTTAAAAAAAAAGTTTTTATTACTCAGTTAGAATATTTATAGGTTTCTCTTTGAAGGTAGACAGCTGGAATACAAATGTATTGGTGCAACAAAACAAAGCTAGATTAGACCTCATCTGAAATATCGTGTGCAGTTCTGGTCTCCACATTTCAGATGAGATTTACCAACTTCAGAAAGAGTAAGTAAAGATTTGCCAGCAGGTTACCAGGGCTCTAAGGATTAAATTGTGAGGACAGATTACATAAACTTGTATTCATTTGGAATATACAAAGTTAAGGTGTTATTTGATTAAAGTTTATAGGATTTTGAAAGGAATCGATAGGGTATATGGAGAGAAAGTTTACCACTGTCTACAACAATAGGATATAAACTTAAAAACGAAAGACAGGTTACTCAGGACTGTCAGGAAACAAAACAGAAATTGCTGCAAAAGCTCAGCAGGTCTGGCAGCATCTGTGCAGAGAAATCAGAGTTAACATTTCGGGTCCAGTGACCCTTCCTCAGAACTCCTGCCCCACACCTACCATATTTTGTGTGAATTCTCCCCGACACAAAGGAATAGGTAAGAGCTGAGCTACAGCTAATGATCAATGTGGAACCACAACTGACGGATAGAGTTAGGATAGGAGTCAGCCATTATCCTACTGAGGAGAAGAACAGGCTCAAGGAGCTGAATGGCCTACTCCTGTCCCCACATTCCCAATGGCTTGAAGGTTAACCCAGGAATTATTTCAGGCATTTCACAGTGAGCTTCCAGCTTCTGCCACTTTAACACACCACCTTGTTCCCTAGCCAACACCTATCTCAGGCTTGCTGCAATGCTCTAGTGAAGCTCAGCGCAAACTGGAAGACAACTTCCCCATTTTCTGCTTGGGAACGCTACAGACGTCTGGACCTCATACCAAGTTCAACAATTTTAGGGCTTGAGGCACCTTCTCCAATGGCCTTATCCCAACCCTCAGAAACCAGGCCCTGTTATCACTACATATTGTTAACCACTTACAGACACCATTAGTAGCTATTCACTCTCCTAGCCAGATCATTATCCACTCTTGTCTGTCCAATTGTTCTTCTCTCTTTGGGCTCTATCCCAGACTATCGTTTACTCCTTACCCCCTCTCCAGCATTGAAAAACATTTTCCTAGCTACCATCGGTTCTAAGGGTCGTTGGACCAGAAACGTTAATTCTGATTTCTGTCCACAGATGCTGCCAGACCTGCTGAGCTTTTCAAGCAATTTCTGTTTTTATTTCTGATGTTGAGCATCCACAATTTCTTTGTTTCTCTCCCCAAGGCCTGCCCGCCACTCACCCACCCACCCACAGTGGTACCAACCAGTACTG